ATGTTCGAACTTTGGAGGTCTCGAACAAAGTGGCAACCCTGCTAATGTATTTTCTCCCTATCTGTGCATGAAGAGTTTGACTAGATACACAGGAGGACTCTCAATTCGACTTCGGTCCGAACTTAGGGAGCTCTTTTTGAGCTTTGGAATTAATTTCAAAGGAAACCAGTGGCACTATCGTGATTCTCACGAAATTCTAAGTAAGAAAAAGTACTTAAATCGCAACTCTCTGAAACATGCAAGAACCCCATTTTATGCATTTATTCTAAGGTTACCTTATTTAAAAATGGATACACTGAATAAAAGGTAAGGAAAGAAAAAAGGTCAAGAAAGATATTACAGCTCCTACAAATTATCTTGATGCATGTTTCCTAAAGCATTGACGAGAACGCGCAAGTAGGTAATTATCAGAGAAGGGGGCTACCATCAGAGTTTGAAAAAATCCGAACAGTGCCAATCCATGGTTGAATAGAAACGAGAAAAAGGAAAAAGTGAGGGGGGGAGGGGGAGGGAGAGGTGTTCGACGCATCTTGCGTAACTCCGTGCAGGCTGAAAGGAAGGTTGATCAGAGGGAAAAACAATGTCTTATCGGCAAAAGATGAACGACAGATTCGCCGAGGAAGGGTGAGGGACTGATCGAGTGTCTGGGTCTACCGACTGAAATCTTCGAAGCCTGAGAGAATTCCGAGGAAGGTTTGTCTGTGTGCGTAACCGAGCCGGGTCAGGGAAAAACAATGTCTTATCGGCCGAACGATGAGCGAAAGATTCGCCGAGGAGGGGAGCAGGACTGAACACCTGGATCTGTCGGCTAAAATCCTCGGAGCCTGAAAGAATTCTTAGAAAGATTTGATTGTGTGCGTAAAGATTTGATTGTGTGCGTAACTCAGCATCCGGTCCCTGGGTGGGCACTACTGGCGTGAGTTGATCGTGATCGGTGTGGGTTTACCTCAATTCCCGCCAATTCTTATCTCTTCTCTTTGCGACAAACAAAATCACATGCGGGGATTTGGACCTGAAAAACCTCTCTCTAAGATGCACGATTTTCTGCTCGGACATGGACAGATTTTTCGGACGAAAATAATTTTTCCTCTCGAGAGCAAATTAGAATTATTCAAACGGGCTGGGTTGGGGGTGGCCTCTCTTGACCTAAGAATCATTAATTTTCACATCATTTTAAGAGATACTGGAGCTCAAATTTTTCGAGCAGATCATAGGGCTAGGGCATGACAGTAAAAAGTTCCCTCTATTCTGAAATATAAATTTAAGATATTTACGAGAAGTGTTGGAGATTTTTTTCAGTGACAATTTTCGCCACCTCCAAAGAACCAGTCCCATCTCCCCCCCCCCCCCC